ACGTTTATATCGATTTTCCGTCTTCTTCTTGAATGTCGTAGAATAGTGGCCGAGGGAATCTCTTTGCGATCTCGAAGATAGCTCGGCAAAGGCCTACCGTAAGGCGTTATTGTTAACTGTCTGGAACGTGTAAGGTGGAGCTCGGCTCCACGCGCGCCACGACGAGCACCACAACCACTCGACCACGGCGCCCCTATCCTTATTCCTCATTGTCCTTATTATTGTTGTTGATATTATTGTTTGAGTTTTGGTTTATGACTGATATTTCGTCAACTTTGCCCTTTTTTTGAACCGTATTTCAAGGTCTAAGACTAGCTATCTATAATCAGTTCAAACTGTATTATCTCCCTATTCCATTTGACCTTTTATCTCCATTCAAATAAAAAAAAACTACAGATCGTTCGAACAGGCATGAAAAAGCACAACAGCATGATTTTACGGTCAACAGTGTAGCGTTTTTGTGGCAAAAAATTGATAGTGGTGAAAGTAGTCCGGATTTTATCGTGGTGAAAGGTCAGTCACTTCTTGATGGCTATCGACGATAGACACCGAAAAAGTAATTCCTTCCAATGAGAGTATTGAACAACTTGGATGATTGCAGAAGCTGTTAGTATCAACCTGCCTAACATTCGAATAGACTACAAGAGGTGAAACGCTGCAATAACAAGGACTCGTGCTTACGGAGACAGGTATATGCACAATGGCTAGCAGTTGTGTGGCTGCGTCTACTTCGAAGCGTATGTTGTGAAGGTGAAGTGGTAGTTATACCGTCAACCGCAAACACAATGCTGGTTCGGTCCTCCTGCGCGATTACCAAGCATTTCATTCTCTCGGGTTCAGAATTTAGTAGCCATTACCAGTGAGTCGGTGTGGTAGTACCTATTGATCTTTTTCAGATAAAAGAAGACATCAGGTAGACGCCGGTAAAGTAATAAGTCATCAATAATAAGACAGTTGTAAGTATCAAATTTCATCGTTGTACAATTAGGAAGCAACACAAAAATACCATGAGAAAAAACTAATAATCAACAAATTCACGACCGACATTCCATAATTTTACAATAATATCGTAGCCAAGTTTAGAAAATGCTCTAAAAAGGTGTACCATCTTGAAAAAATAATTATAGGTACCTTCGAGAGATTTTTTTTCCGACACTTTAGTTGTCCGTTTTCACAGTGTTTTTTTCACTGTGCGAATTCTATTACTTCTAGCATTTAATTTGCTATCTCGTCTTCTTCTTGAACGGCGTAAAATACTGATTGAGCAAATTTCTTCGCAGTCTCGAGGATAATCTGGCTGTGTCGTTCCACATAGCCTTGTTTTTGACCGCCGGAGAAAGTGGGGGGTGGGGTTAAGCTCCACAGGCGTCGAGACGAGCATCACAGCCACTCGTCCATGGCGCCCTACTCTCTCTTTCAAGAAAACTATGTGAAAATTAATTAGGATAAGGTAAAAATGACACTATATCATTTTTGCTATGCTCGTTATATCGTTCTTTCAGCAGAAGGCATGACCCGTACAGAGCGAATACTGTCCGAATACGAAGACACATGTGATAAATCACTTTTGGAATGGCGGCAAATAAATATCTTTTATGAAGATTCTGTTGCATTACTAGATTGACAATTCAGCATTCTGAACAACTTATTTGCAGAGTTGAGAGGAAAGTGGGCTTTTAGTAAGCTTACATGGACTTCGACAGCGTAGAAATAATCATTAAAAAACAGGAGAACTCCACTTTTTTTTTTTGCATTTCTAGAGTCGGAGCCCGATCAACTGTCAATATAACCACAAAAAAATGGCAAAAAGACTTTGTGAGGTAAAAAAAAAAGAAAAACCTCTAGCGTAGGTATTGGAATCTGCACGCATAGTCGCCAAAAACATTGCCACACTACATCAGGACGTCGAAAATCAAGTGATACAGAGATGTTTGTCAACCTGCGGTTATAAGCTACTAGCGGCTGATAAAGGAGATGTCAAGAGTGAATCACAGGAAAGCCACTACCTAGTAGTGGAACGTGCTTACGAAAATGATGAACGTGGAATGTATTTGGCCTTGTGATTCTTATCAGAGGTATAAGAGCAATTCCAAAATTCAGCAAGGATATATGAAGAATTCTAGGCGTTCTATTCACTCGAAACAAGAAGCGCTGCGAAACAGAATCGACTTTAAGTAGTTCTAATTCTAAGAAATATTGTAAGACTCATTAATATTGTAAGACCTCTCGCCACGTGTAGAATCTAGTCTTAAAATAATCACCACGCTTGGTATAAATTAGCTATCTCTTCGAATAGTTCCTATTTTTTCATATTACTGCCCGCTTTCCATGCTAATTATGCTATTAACAAAACTTTTCTCACCATTCTCAACCACTCTGTAGTATATATTTTTCATGTTGTCTCATTGCTCTCTATAATAAAACTAATGTTTACTCGAGGCATCAACATCACTAGCCTTCAGCGGCAAAACTCATCAATCAGTCAACAGATCAAATCACTGGCAACGGCGGACCCACCCCGTTGCTATACTCACCAACTCTTCCATTCCTCCTCTATTGGTGAATTGGTACTAAATCTGTCTACATGAACTAGTTGGCGTTTTAGAGTATTCGGTGGTATTTCAATAAGAGCCACCGATTGCTCTAAACCCGCTCTTTTCAAACAGCGTTCTATAGCTGTACTAATCTCATTTGAAAAGAACGGGAGTATGAACGGGATTTTCCTTTCATTCGAATTTTCGTTTGGAGGCGCACTATTTCCTCTAAACCTAAGCCGAGGGGCTACAAATTCATATCCATTGGAAGTGGCTATTTCCCGAGGCAATTTCACGGATTCTTCTCTCTGCTCCTCCCCAGTACATACGCTGGCTGCTGTTCGAAACATGTTCTTTACTAGCGCCTTTTTCGTATGTGAGGGATGAGAAGAGAGATAGTGAACCAGGATATTTTTACTACTTGGCTTCCGGTACCACTTTGTGATGTAGCCGCTCTCGCTTAAGCTTATTTGCACGTTCAAGAAAGGAAGCCAATGACCTTTGGTATCTCACGGGTAAACTTTATATACTCTGACTGTTCATTCAACAATCTAAAACAATTATCTAGCTCCTCTTGAGTGGAGCAGATAACCAAACAGTCATCTATATACCTACAGTAGAGTAATGGCCGGAGATCCATCACTGGTGCTTCCACTTTCGACATAAAGGCAATCGCTAGGCTAGATCTGTCTACATGGATAGCAGCTCTGACTTCATACAGGGCACAACGAGTCATGAAAAGACCAAATATGCATTAATCACATCAAAAGATATTAGACGACGACGAATGCATGAGGGCATCTCTCAGGGAGTGATCAACTCCGAGTAAATCGTTCTTTTATGCTTTGCGCTGAACATTGGCAGAGCTTCGTAATTTCCTTGTACGTCAACATCTGCCTTCGTGCAATATATTAACGACAAAGGAGTTACCCAATCTAAAACAAACGGAAGCAGTGGTCAGCCATTCCGACTACTCAAATCCAATCACAGCTATCACGGTTTTGCGTCTTCACCTTCTTTTGCTTCCATCGCACTCCATTTGCTAAATTCCATTTTCACACAATAATCTCCACATGTGACCGTATCCTTGTCCTAATAGTTATTGAGAAGTTGAATAGATTAAATTTTGACATGCGCTTTATATCAGTATCAGTGATGGTTGAGTCGTTGCTTAAATACTTTGCGATAGAGTACTGCTCTTTGAATCGTCTTGATTTGTCCTGCCACGCGGAATTTTGAGTTAGGATTTATCCTTATAAGGAACAACCTAAATATATCAAAATATACACACATATGTAGTATTGACGATACGAACTTCATCATACGAGAGAACGATGAAGTTGATGCTAAGGACAAGTGAGTGACGACGTCGAAAAATGAGTGATTGATTCAAGATACATAGATAGGAAGGTGTAACTGATAGCTGATGTCTTGACACCTATTTAAAAATATCGACGGATGAGTAGAAAAAGATAGAGGAAACGAGCAAGCAATGAGATCGAAAAGAGGAATGAAGTGCCACTGTGGGCGTAACCCTCCACTATCGCCATCTTTCTTGACCGCTGAGCAACCAGCTTGTCGACAGGTGTCCGCCATCGGCAATGTCCAGGGTACATCGCGATCTCGGGCCGATAAACACGCTAATCACGTTACCTTCCGAATACTTGAGGCAGTGTCCACAGGATACAATATTATACTTATTCGATAAATCTATCTTACTTTTTTATCCTCTACAAAGTGTTGTATCATCTTCGGTATGTACATGTGCGACGCAAAGGAAATAGCAGTTGTTTGGTGGAACAACTGCTATGGCATCAACTTTATCGTTCTTTTGTATGGAGTTCGTATTGTTGATGCTCATGATTGTGGAGTGCTGTGCAAAAAACGTTTGCGTCAGCCGGGATTCGAACCCAGATCTCATTCCTTCCGTTACACTACCGACGCTCGTTTTGCAGAGCACTCATATTTACGCTATAACGCGTTGTCTGCCAACAGCCAACCGTCGACGGTCTGACGGGACAGCCGCTATCGGCAGTGAACCCACTTGAGTTGACAGACATTGGATATCGATAATCAGTCTAAATTCTTTTTATTTTGACTGCCACTTGCAGTGGTATGATGTTATAGTATACCCAATGTGTGGAGGAAAGAAGAGATCTGGGAAGAGTGAGATCTGAGTTCGAATCCCGGCTGACGCAAACGTTTTTGCAGAGCACTTCACATATTGGGTATACTATAACATCATACCACTGCAAGTGGCAGTCAAAATAAAAAAAATTTAGACTGATGCTCATGATTGTTGTTGTACATATGTGTGTATATAAGTTAATATATTTAGGTTGTTCTAAGGATAAATCCTATCCCGAAAATTCGCGTGGCGGGACAAATCAAGAAAAGTCAAAGATCAGTACTCTATCGCAAAGTATGCAAGTAACGATTCAACTATCGCTAAACCTGAAATAGTTTTGCATTGGCCGGGAATCGAACCCAGGTCGCCCGCGTGGCAGGCGAGCATTCTACTACTGAACCAACAATGCACCACTATTTCAGTTTCAATGGTAGTTGAGTCGTTGCTTGTATACTTTGCGATAGAGTACTGCTCTTTGACTCGTCTTGATTTGTCCCACCACGCGGAATTTTGGGACAGGATTTATCCTTGTAACGAACGACCTAAATGAATCAAAATATATAAACACTTATGTACAACAGTCATCATGAGCATCAGCTATACGAACTTAATGATAAAAGAGAACGACAAAATTGATGCCAAGGTCAAGTGAGTGACGACGTCGAAAAATGAGTGATTGATTCGAGATACATGATAGGAAGTGGTAACTGATAGCTGATGTCTTGACACCTAGTTAACTTATCGACAGATGAGCAGAAACAGATAGAGAAAACGAAGCAAGCAATGAGATCGAAAAGAGGAATGAAGTGGCATTGTGGGCGTGACCCTCTACCATCGCCATCTTCCTTAACCGCTGAGCAACCACCTCGTCGACACGCTTTCTGCTATATCGTATCCTATAGCAACCATTGCAGAATATATCTCATAATTATTAATTGAGCCAACATGTCATGTGGTCTGCTAATGGGCTCTTGTACAGCCCGATACACGTTTCGACCTTACACGTGCTAAAAAGGCTAAAAGACGAATGGTTCTGCCCGATTGACGAGACTCTAGGCCGAAACACATGTATCGGACTCTACAAGAGCCCATTACCAGACCACATGACATGTTATCTCAAATAACAATTATGAAAAATATTGAAATTTGAGCTGGGTTTAATATAACACTCGAAATAAATGTATAATTTTATAAAACATTCCGGAATAGTTATGTTTTATGTATTACCGCATTCTTTGGGTTAATTATTCAAGTGTAAACTGCATAATTTTTTCTTCACAACTTTCACAATCTTGCAATTGTTTGCAATTTTATAAGAACTTCGCTTGTGGTAAACAGTCTTTATTTTCGTCGTCTTCTTCATTTGCGCGGAGTTTTTGTCTGTTATCGTGATCGGGAGCTTCAAGGAAATGACAACACGATTAGAAAAAAGTTGTTTATAGAGATATCTTTGCCATATGATGTGTTCGAGTAATGCAAGGGAAGCAATCATCAACGAGTGCTTGCAGACAGACTGAGAAACTATGGCAAAATCCAGCTTTTTTAAGGACGTGTCAAAGTTGAGCACTTTCCAATGAGCCTTCCAGACTGCTCTATGTTTTAGTTCGTATAGACAATGCCAGTTGTTAGCTGTACCCTCTGTGATCACTGTTGATCGTTACTTGATTCTACTCTTACGTATCATTCCGCACATAAACTCATTCAACCCACTATGAAAAAAGCCATTTTCTTCCGCGGGTGCTTCCACACCGTTGTCGATGGAGTGCGATTGTTATAGACATCGAAATCGGGATGAATGGTTCGTGAAACCACAGAAAAGGATTTCTAACGGTATCGTTCATTTACTTCATTCATAGAATTTAGCGTCTCTCCAGCTTCCACGAAATCAACATAACCCTAGCCGCTCATGCTCTCATGTTCTGAATTATAGCAATCTCTTGAAAGTGAAATAAAGCCTCATACACAACGCAGCCATAATTTTCTCAACATTTGATGAAGCTATTAATTTTGAACAAGCAAAATAGCGGTACTTACGTCATAGTCACATGATTTACTCGTCATCATTTTTAATTATGCGGACTCCAACACATTCAGCAGCGGTTCGATCCCTCACAATCATTCTCACAAAGGTTTTCGAATATTAGGTGTTGTGTAGGCTGTTGTTCGTGGATTCCGTCTTTTTTTCTGAATGCCGTAAAATGCTGGTTGTGAAATTTCTCTTATTGATCTCACAGGAACCCGGGCTATAGTGTTCGTGAGTGATTGTAAGAAGGAGAAAAGGAACAAGTAGGCTTCCCAGTAGTGTAGGCATATCACTATCAATCGATACAAGAACGAAAGAAGTATCTCTGCGTTAGGTATCTGGATATTTCATCTTCCTATGCCAATTCACACCAACTTCACTCTCTTCAGAAGCAATATTCCTCAGCAGCAAAGTGCTACAGTGATACGGCACACTGAGAATGCCTTTCCAAGTACAAGCACCGGTGTAATATTTGTGTTTACGAGCTTTCAAATGGCTACTGAGAGTCTAGTGGGAAAATCTGTGTACGCGGAAAAAATGCTGAATGTCACGCGCTTATAAAAGACATGCACTCCGTATGAAACAAGCACCCACATGTGCTTCTAAAAAGGAACACGCCGTCCTGAAGAAGCTCGTGCATTAGCCTCATTGCATCATCGTTTTCATTTGAAGCTACTGTAAGATTCCATCTGCTCTTTACTTATTAACCTTATCGTAATGCCAACACATGTACCTCTAAAATGTCAACCCTATCATATTGTCACTATATACACCTTGTGTTGTTTTGGTGTCATCACATTGCATTTCTCTCTTGTTATTAGTGCGAAAAAGTTTTATGAACCATAGTTTGAACTTCTGCTTCTTGTTGAAGTCAGAAAAATCGAACATTCTGTTCTTTGTTCTTAGTAGCTGCAAAGAACTGCCTCGAGGATCCATCTTCTCCGTAGCAACTGCTTCAGTTTTTTCGTATCGTTGCTGATATACTATATGTAATACTTATACGGCATTCTGGGGGCTCCGTGGCCGAGCGGTTGGGATGCTCGTCCCAGCGCACATGGAGCCGAGTTCCAACCCCCACCCCCCCCCCAACACTTCGGCAGTCAACAAGAGCGCCCTATGGAACGCCGCAGCTAGGCTATCCTCGAGATTGCAAGGAGACATGCTTGACCAGTATCCTACGTCGTTCAAGAAGAAGACAAAAAACAAATTTAATCTAGATATACTGGGACCCGCACAATAAGAAACTGTGATGACAGCTCGTATAAACAAATAAATGCACGTTGTTTTGCTCCAACAACCTCTGTAAAAACCACCTTCTCGTCGTAGCGTGCCTTCTTGCACACCATTTTACCTTCACCTATTAACTCTACTGCCGTCTCATGGCTTCTACTCATTTTTTGGTATCGTCATATCGTTATTGTCGTGGTGATGTTATGATTGTATACAGAGTATGAAGCATTAACCACTCATGTTTTAGATCTGCTGATCATAACGGGAGGTCGCACATGCAAGGTCGAGCTAAAGACTATTCGGATCTGTCACCGACTCCAAGGATTTCAATTCACTAAGCCAATTATCATGAATATTTCGGTCATGAAAATAAAGAGCAGCAGTGAAATGAGCCACTGAACCCTCGTCAAGATGTTATAATATCACTTTGTCGCTAAAAAAAAGTCCAGTTCAGTGTGGTTTACTTGCTTAATTGTATACTTCAGGTGGCCAACAAAGATGCCAGCCGCCCTACAGCAGCTTGTTGAGTGTACTCGACGCGTCCTTCGTGGCCAAGAAGCCTATCGTGTTCAAATAGTTTCAAATGACGACATACACCACACCGTGTAAAATCTTTGAAAAATTAACGAAACAATAAAAACTTTTCGTTGAGGAAGAGGTGTCCAAAAAACGAATTCCGACTTTTATACACCTTTAGCAGTTTGATCTGCACGTTATGCTTGAAAAACTTGCATTTTACTTGAATGTTCGACCTATAAAGTCGCCAATTTCAACATTGATAAATCAGATTTTGATAGAAATAGCCATTCCGTACATCAACTTTACTCACATTTTCGTCTATCGAAGAATCTTTGCTAACAAGGTGTATTTTTTTTTCCATTTTTCGATGTAATCTAGAACATGTGAATGATATTAGACGGGAAAGAAATTTAAACGATTGTATTGAAAGAAGTGGGCTATGAAAATGAGGAAGCTAGTGGCCGGCCACATTCGAACAATCGGCGACTCTCATCTCCTTACAAATACATTAAGCAGCTGCTTGTTCTTCTGTCGCTCAGCGTTGCCTTTTTACTCTTTGGCAAATTAAGATTTGACGAGCCCCCACGTCAATTTGACTACGAATATCATCGCAATACGAGTAAATCCTCTTAAAAAAGCAGCAAGTGCTTCAGCAAGCCCACTTGGGCATAATACGCTTATGATTTGTTAAGGATCTGTTTAGCATATGAGCTGATGGTGCAAAAGTAGTAATGAGTGAAAAAACTCATTCGCTACTAAAATGTTTTGAACCTCCTTAACGTCTTTCAATTATGACTTTTTGAATTCCCGTAATAGGACCATTCTCATAATATTCGGTATTGTTCCAGTCTGACCGAGCAGTTTGGTGCTTCCGCCACCGTAACAATCAGCAAGACTATGCAGGATGTGGAGCTAACGAAAAATCTCGATGTTCTTATTGTCAACCAGTCACTGGAAAAGGTTGATTGATATGTCTGACAAGTGATAATTTTTTTTATCTCACTAAGATGTTCTGCAATATATTTAAGAGTGCTTCAATTTCGATTGAATTTCCTTAATAAGACATAAAAGATAAAGCTCTGGGCGTTGATCAATCCCTGAGAGATGTGCCATGCATTCGTCTTCAATTTTAACGTCGTTTGAGGTGACTGAATGCGTATCTGCCTTTTACAATGATTCGCGATCGCATTACGATGTACCGAGTCAGTGCTGTTTATCCTCCCAGACAAGTCTGAAACCAGTCTGGTACCGATTCATCGACCTTAGAGGGGTGGATGGTTTGGTGAGCCATGAGCGCGAGATCGAACCATTGACCTCGCGTGTTACGTAGAGCACCTCCAGCCACTCCGCCACACGCGCTCTGTAAATCTTCTATAGTACATAATTAGTACATCAATGTACATTGATAGGTGTTCTTAGAGGATTCGCATGCAGATGTACGTGTGTTATAGGGCAAGTAGACAAATTTTCAAGAGTTCATCCCCGTATGGAATAGAGATTTTGATAGCCTCACTGTTTCGTAGTCTTCGACGTTGCCTAGGCCCTTGCAGAGAAAAAATACTGAAGCTCGTTTTTTTTATTGTGTTTACTTTTTACACTCAACGTGAAGCTTGCTCAACTTTTAACGTAGAAAAATT